CCTATTCGGCCACATGCGCATCCACGAGAGCGGAATTGACCGCAGCCTTGACACACCCACAACGCTAGGCTCCACTCCCAGTCCATCACCTTGTGCACCCATCAACCTCTCCGCAACCGCCGTCGATGCCACCGACCTTCCCACCCCTCACTCCGCCCCTTCCCACTCCTCTTCCTCCTTCACTGCCACAACGACGGCCGCTTCGGCGTCTGTCGCCCACCGCTTCACCACAGCCGCACCTGACACAACAACAGGCACAACCCCTGCAACCTCCATCATCAGAAGTGAGGGCATAGACTACATCTGCCCTCACTGCGATCGCACCTTCACTTCACGCATCGGCCTGGTCGGTCACTTGCGAATCCATCGCACAGAGACTGGCGAACCAGTGCCTGGAGCACCAACCTACACCCACCGCACTCGCCTCCACTGTCCACACTGCCCTCGCACCTACACGCATCGCATAGGTCTATTCGCCACATGCGCATCCACGAGAGCGGAATTGACCACAATTCCGATACACCAACCACGCCCTTCATGCCCAGCACCACCCTCGCACCATCGGTCTGCACCACCACCAACGCCTATTCTGTAGCTGACACTGACACCGCCGATTTCACATACCCACACTGTCCACGCACATTCACCCCACGCATCGGCCTGGTCGGTCACTTACGAATCCATCGCACAGAGACTGGCGAACCAGTGCCTGGAGCACCAACCTACACCCACCAAGCTCGTCTCCACTGCTCACACTGTCCTCGCACCTTCAGGCATCGTATGGGCCTATTCGGCCACATGCGCATCCACGGCGACCTGCGGTAGACAACCGCCGGTCACACCACGCATTCCCTCACTCCCTACCTCCTAACACCATCACCCCACCAGACATCAACCCTCACACACCTCATGCACTCAACTGCCGCCTCCCACGCAAGTGGGAAGTGTGCATCTCGACTCGGTCCCCATGCGGCTTCGGCTGCACGTGTGACTTGAGTCTGAGACTATCCCGACACTTCAAGTGTCGTGGATAGGAAGGTTGCTGATCGACGCCCGCTCTCGGTTCACGCAGTTAGTCACGTTGTGTGTGTGTGTGTGTGTGTGTGTGTGTGTTGTGTGTAGTGGCGGACTGATGGGCTGGGCGGCGGGTTGAAACAGCACCTTCCACGGCCCCCTCACGCAAGTGAGAGACATGCCGTTCAACCCCCGTTGTGTGGAATCCTGGTGTTTGTGTGTGTATGGGGGGCCAGGTCGTGCTGTGGCGCGCGCAGGCATGGTCAGTCGACCATGTCAGCCACCGCGCCCATTCCCCACTCCAGTCTACTGACCGGCTCGGACAGTGACTGGGGTGTGGGAATGGGAAGGGAGAGTGAGGTCGACGACTCAGCGCATTTTCCTCACTATAAACAATCTGACGCGCTTGAAGCTATCACGGTGCGCTAAAAGCCGTGGCTTGGAAGGTTGCCAACTGACGGGGTACCTTGGACCTCCTCCTTCACTGGAGGCGGTCTGAGAGTCAGGCTGCAATGGCTCCTTTTTAATGTGGCCTTTATGGCACTCCTACCACAGTGCGGGATCCGAGCCAGGCGCCGGCGGCGCGCCCAGGTGCGGCTTCGGTCGTGCCAGCCTCCAAATCTCTGTTGTGTTGGTTGAAATCCTGGTTATTGTTGTGTTGATCTGGGGGTGTGGTGGAACGCCTAGGTGAGGATCCGTCCGAGCCATCCACCTGCGGCCTCCCTCGTCTACGGTCTTCTTGACTTGGTCTTGACACCGGGCTCAGGCGGGGGAGGAGGAGAGAGTGTAGGTAGATGTTACGCAAGTCTACCGGCACTATAAACCCCTGCGTAAGTCACCGTCCCTGCTCCCGCAATGCAGTTTGTGGGGCACACGGTGGACATAATCGAAATCGATGGTCGAACTGTCGTTCTGTTAAAAAAAAGTTACTTGGGCAGGCGCTGATCAACCACCCTCCTGATTTGGCCGCTCCCTGTTCAGTTGAACCTACCTGGACATAGTACAGATCCTGGGTACAATTATCCTTTTCCGTGACCTCAGTATTGGGCGAGGGGCCTTTTCTTCCTTTTCAAAGGCAGTTGAACAGGCGCGGTTCACTTTTGCTGCCCGATTGTTGTACACTGTTCACGTCCACTTCCTGTACAGTAGCGCAGTTAGGACGCCAGCGCTGTACATACTAACTAGCATTGGAGATGTGTGTAGTCAAACCGTCTTCGATTTTGGTGCTTCTGGGGAGGGCGCTTCTTAAGTGCGTGCAGCCCTCCACGATGGTGAGGTGGGTTCTATTGACGCTCACCATAAGTTCTCTGTATTTCTCAGCTGGCGTTGGCTTGCACATGACTATTGTCTTCTTATGCTGAAGCCTGAGTAACCGAAGGCACAGAGCCCATTCGTCATTGCACGTTTGTCCCCGTACTGGTGTTCACCTCGCAGTCATTCGCCAATAAACGACACCAGGCACCGATACTTTCGTCCTTGCCTCCATGCACACAACGCTGAGTAGCTGCCGTAAACATGGTAGTTGACTTTGGTCTCAGACCATTTCTAGTGGAAGCCGTCCAACAGCACGGAAGGGACAATGAAACCGAAATGGATGACATCGAGTACATCTTCCTCCATCATCTCACTTTTCACCGTGGATATCCGTCGTGCAGCTGTCTGCGTGAATAATTCAAGACAAAATCCATGAAAGCTCGTTTCAATTTCTTGACACTATGCTTGCAGTTGGCGGGTCGCAAGGATCATGTCTGTGATTGCACGGTTTCCCCGGAGTCCACAGTGTGCTGCTGAAAGGGGTCTATGATCAGTGCGTGTACTTAAGTGATTAAGAAGAAAGCGGGCATATATCTTTCCAGAAATATTGTGATGAAATTTACTGAGGATGATTGTCGGTGATTTACCGGTTTTGCTTATGTTTCTATAAATAAAAGTATATGCGTTATTCGTCTTGACCCACCCGTGAAAAGCCCGGCCCTCAGTGGGGTTCGAACCCAGACAGCAAGGGGAAGGCTTTAGTACAGGCAGCGCTCTAGCCACCTGAGCTAAGAGGCCCCGCCGGACGACTCGAGTTTAAGCACATTTGGTTCAATTTAACCGCCCAACCTACAGTAACGTCTGGAATCCACCAAATCTGATACAGTAACCTGACTGCCCAATCAGAACCTTAATTTTCAGATGAAATGTTCCAACTCCATCAAAACCCGCCTCGTTCAAAAGTTGTCAGAAGTAGGGATAAGGGTTAGTCTTCTGAACTGAATTCAAGATTTCCTAAACGGTCGTAGACAAACGTCACTGCGGGTGGCTACTACTCAGAATGGGCATCTGTTACAAGTGCAGTCCCACAGGGGTCAGTTCTTGGGCCGCTCCTATTCATTATCTATGTGAATGACCTATTACAAGAAGGGAAATCGGACACAGCGCTCTCTGCAGACGATCTTAAACGTTGGAGAGCGATAAAAGATGAAGATGACGTCAAGATACTACAAGAGGACCTAGAGAATTTGCACGTATGGAGCGAGAAATGGTGCATGAAATTCAACGTCAAAAAATGTGCAGTAATGCACTTAGTATGAGCGAGGCGAAGAACAAATGCACGCTCACGACAGTACCTCCTGGACGATCAACCACTTAAAACCGTAGATGTACAAAAAGATCTCGGTGTATTCATTAAAGACTATTTAAGCGTCACCACGCAGTGTTCTAAAGTCGCTGCCCGGGCAATGTCAGTCATGAGCGCGATACGCAGAACGTTTATTCACTTGAATACAGATGTCTTTAGCAAAATATGTGGGACATTTGTTCGGCCGCACCTGGAATATGCGGTACAGGCTTGGCGGCCGTGGCTTCGGAAGGACATAGATATCCTTGAAGGTATACAACGGCGTGCTGCAAAGGCTGTTCAAGGCCTCAAACATTTCACGTACAAACAACGCCTGACGGCGTTGAACCTCTATCGCCTCCACTACAGGCAGGACAGATGTGACCTCATAGCAACGTTCCAGTTGGCAAAAGGACTTAATCTGGATGTCAATTGGGAAACGCTTTTTGAAATGACACCCAAGTCTAGTCTCGGGCAACATGATTACCAGCTTAAAAGGGAACTGTGCCATACAAATCAACATCCCTCCTTTTTCTCACAGAGGGCAATTCGCCAATGGAACTCTTTGCCGGAGTTTGTTGTTAATTCCCCTACCGTGAGCGTGTTCAAGAGAGAACTGGATACTCATCTGCTGAAAGGCAACCCGAACTGCCGAAGCCTGATCTGACGGATTGCTGAAATGACTATAAATTGCATGATTTCAACGGATACTTTTTGTACATCAAACTTAACCCATAAGGAAATTTTCACAGTCCGTATGCGGTTAACAAAGTTTTTCGCAATTATTTCGCGAATACAATACCCCTTTCGCATTTATGTTCCACTATTAGATTTATGAATTCTCCTTACTAAAACTGCAAGCAAAATTTTTGCAATTTAACTATCTTCCCTCACATCTGTACCCTCTAAGTGGAGTTTTCGGGGCTTATGTCGTTTACTCCAAATATACTGACGGATTTGTATCCGCTTTAAATGGATGCTGTTAAAATTCGGTCTGTGCTCGAATGTGTTCATCACTGTGTTTAACTTGTTTGGTGTTTTCTTACCCTAGGCTGCTTTTGGAGGTGGATTTTCTGCCCTATCTTCGTGAAACGGTAGTGGTCTGTTTAGAATTCCGCATCACACACGTTCTTTGTTACCAGTACATCACACTGATCTAACCTACCTAGAATGACACAGTCCAGCAGCTGTCGGTGATGTGGACGACGGTGGAACTGTGTTGCTTCGTATGATTTGTAGGGCGGAGGAAATTGTGTTTTTTGCATGCTCTCAACTGACGGGGACTGTAACTGTTACCACTGCGACACCGTGGTGATCTAGCATCCACTACGAGGTAGAGAAATCTTTGCCAACGCTAGGGGTGAAGTCACCGAGGACAACAAATGTTTCCGCCCTAGGCCCAACCGCGAAAAGCGTGTGCAGATCTTTGGAGGATTTGTGCTTCCCACCGTTGTAACCTGTCAGTGGGGGAAGCAGGCTTTGGTGATTGTGGTGTATTTCTCCCTGTGAAGCGGTAGTTCGCAGGAGACGATGGTTGATTGCCTGAAGAAGGTAGGGAATCAGTCCCACGATGTCCTTTTAGAGGAGGAAAATGACTCCAGAGTCCTTTTGGACAAGGATGAGGTATGTGAACTCACTCAAGGAACAAGAGACCATGTCATTCTCGCCTTTTTTGTAATTGACCCTTCCGCGCTTTGGCAATAGATCGAGTAATCTACTTGTTTTATAAAAATAAACTGGAAGAACTGCGAAAAATGCTTAACGTTTGCTTGCACTGATACCCCCGATCATTCCTGTGGGATCGGGTTCCTAGTACGTGTGATCTTTTGAAAGTAACTGTAGAGGAATTTAACATTAGGACGCAATATCCCACTCCAAAACTTATCCAAATGTTTATTTACTATTACGCTCTTTTTTCCGCAGTTTAGTTCCGCCCACAAAACCTGTATGCCACGATTACCTGGTTTCTGTTCCCTGAGTGG